CATGCTAAAGTTTCCATTATTGCACGTCTGGTTGGCACACAACAAACCAGTTACTGTATGCAGAAACATGCAATAATCACATCAAAAATGACTAAAAAATCGAGAATGGTTGTTAAAATAGTGTCACTTATGTGCCACATTAGTTTAAACTCAGAAACCACTCCGATTTTTCTGTTGTTACAAAGATGTAAATTATCTCACTTCCAGATTCATGATATCCAGGAAGAGATTCACGCAGTTCAGAAAACTTTTCTTTTGGGCCTTGACTGGGGAACTGCAAACGTGACTTACTTTTAAAAAATGGACCGCCTTTTCATATTCAGTAAAATCACCATATTTATTCTCCTTCATGTATATAAATTTTATATTATGTGATCGATCACCTTAACAATGCAATGTAAACTTGTTAGCCTTACTTAAAAAGGATTATATTATATTTATTCTATTGTTAAAAATCAACTCCTATCTATAACTGGGATGATATCATTGTAATAAATAAAAAATTACAATAAATGCTAAATATATTTATTGTGTTTCTGAAATCAACCCCGTGCTAAAAGACCATATCATCAAATCTCCGCCGTTCAAATAGTCCTGGAATTCTATGGGTTCAAAGAAACAAAAACAAAAAAAAACACTTTGCTGTTGTGACAGTTGTATGCATTTCCTGGCCAACTATCCATCTCGTTCTGATGCACATAATCAGCCAATAGCCAATTACCATTACTTTTGTCACAATGTACATATCAGTGGACTAGATCTAATTATATAATTTTGTTTGAGCAGAATAAGTTTTACTTCATATTAAGAATGTAACACAACTGCAAACAAACTTTCTTCAATCAAAATTGCCAACTAATAATAAATGCAAAAAAAATTTACTATTCACAATTTCCCTCCCCCAAAATTGGAAAAAGACTCAAATTTCGAAATATGTATGTTTTTCTTCGACAAAAAATTTTTTTTAATAAAAAAATGGTTATTGCGACCCTTTCGAAGAAAATGACCAGGTTTAGCTGGCTATAATAGACGAAGGTTCCATTATAATAAATTTAAAAGATGTTGCTAAAAATTTTTGGTGGAATGGAATCCGTCCATATGTATTTAAAACAATATTCTTAAGGATAATATCAAGGTAAAGGACTCCCTTGCGATGCATAGGAAATAAGACATGGAGCTGGACCATGTAATGAATTGCTCATCCTATACTTCTTGCTATGTCACGGAAAAGTTTGAGGAAACCAAATACTATAAAATTTTGGCGCAGTAATGTCTTTAACATTTATATTAATATTTATTGTCCTCTATTGCTAAAGGATACATTAATCATTCATTGATCATTGGTCATATCACTATAAATGCCCTATTGTTGTGAAACCATGATTCAAGACAATCTTTTAACACATTGTAAAATTGGCGGTGGATTAGTATTTTTTTAATATCTCCTGTTTCAACCAAATTTTTGCAAAATGATCATCAAATTACATATCTTTTTATTTTCAATGCGTTCTAAATAAAAAAATTAGTAGAGATAATGTACAAAAGAAATAACGCATAAACGAAAGGATACAATATTAATAAACGATATCATGAGTATCCTTTAAACCAAACATTCTTTCAAATATAATACCTTTTCAATTATCATTTAAATGGAAATGGATGGGCGAGTGAGTGAAGATATACATTTAGCATATCAAGTCTTTGTCTGTTGTAAAAGTTGGAAGACGAACATTTCTTTTTCTGAAGTAGCATTCTTTTTGCTGAGTAGTGAATGCAAGACGAGAAATCTCTTCGAAGGTATTTGAAATTGTGGAAATGTATTAATTATAATAAAAATAAAAATAAAAATGTAATGTTATACTGTGATCACCACTTATTGGCAGAATAAAAGTATACCAGGGACGTCCTATCATTTTTTTTTTTTTTTTATTGGCTTGAGATTAACTTGCGAAAATCTTTCTGTTAAGACTGAAAAGGATAACGAATGGAGTGGAGCACATTATACAAAAAGAGAACATCAATCATATCCAGAAGTTAACCGCAAGACATATCTGAAGAGGGGCGAAAACATGAAAGTAATGGAGGGCTCAAGGCAATAAATTATGTAAAAATAAATATTTTTGCACTTTGAAATGTATAAATGATAGTCTGATGTCGCTTTCTGCCAAAACTGTTAATATCACAATTACATCACAATTGTGATGTCAAATTTTGATCCCTGAGATTTCTTCGTGACAATATACTTTAAAGTAATATGTATTATTTGTGATAAATTTCCTAGCTCCCGCAAATTTATTACCAAATCCAGTGATAAAAATTTAGACTAATTATATAAAACATAATTATTATTTGCCCAATTTAAACTAGTTGGTCATGCATGCATGTTCTAGTCACAAAGTTTTTATTATTTTTCACTAACTCGACTAAACTAAACATTTGACATTTTTTTCCACAATCCAGTGATCAAAATAAAAAGCAATAAACAAACATTTAAATAATGTTTCTTTTTATTTTAATTATTATTTACTAATTAGTGATAATCTATTGTTTCTTTGAGAAATTGCCCAAATCTCAAAGTGTAATAATCCGAATATCTTACACATTGTTTGATTGTATAAAAATGATTATATTACTACCCAAAATAAAACATTTTAATTTCGGATAATTTTTTTTGTTTTAATGAAAGAGTGAATTTATAATTTATTCAATCAACTTGTCCAATAATATTAATTAAATTCACGAGATTATAAATATTTATATTAATATTAATATATATCATTAGGCGAAAATTAAAAAAAGTGGATCACCATGCGTAATAAATAGTACTCTATAAGTGTTTATAACTAATAATTGTCTATTATTATTATGGATTTTATTAGTCATACAATTTAAGCTCCCTTTTTTTCCCCATTAACGTTGGATAATCTTTCTAAAAATATAATTTAAACCAAAGATGAGATTTAATTGTTATTAACTTGTTGTCTATATCACTAACATACTATTTATATAATAAACAATCCGATATTATCAACAAATAAAAAATTATTGATCAAAAAATTTTATATATATATAAAAAGAAAATTTCTCAAAAAAAAAAAAAAAATAATTTTTTTTGGGAAAATTTGTATACGCACACTTATACAACTAAGCTTAATAATAAAAACATAATAATAATAATAATAATAATAATAATAATAATAACAATAATATTTAAATAGTAATAATCAGGGTTGGCAAATGTGCAGTCCATTGATGGTCTATTGGTGGTCCATTGGGTCCATTAGTGTAAAACTTTGACCATATTTAGTATTTTATTAATTGCAATGGACCAGTCCAAAATCCATCTGTTCTCAATGGACCAGTCAATTTGCCAACTCTTTGATAAAGAATGGATTCAATTGACCATTCGAACACTTGTAAATCTATATGAAAACATAGATGCTCCTCTAATAAGAATACAATACGAACATTGGTTTACAGTTGCACTTCTTGGAACATGCATTGACTTCTGTCTTAGGGATATTAGATTGGGAACTGATATTAAAATGTTAACTATTTTCTACTAGTATAAACAATAAACCATCATCAACTCATATTTTTAATATAGCTTATAACTGTATACAGGATTGATGCACCATCATCAAGTAGTGCTAACCAGAAGAATAGAAATTGAAAAGTAAATACATGTAAAAGAAAGTCCGTTGGTCATAAAATTGATGGAATAATATATACAACTGATGAGCTTCTCAAATTAGGAGCCATAGAAGGTGCAAGGTCCTTTAAGGGTGTCTCAGACAACAAATATCTTGATGAAGAATTCAAAATGCCAAAGTCTCTTCAAGATATGTATTCTGGTTTGATCAGAGCTGTAAATTATGATGATCAAAGAGCAGACAAACTCCAAGTAATTGGTATATTACACCTTGGATTATGGATTCAATTTGTAAGATTATGGTGTGCCGGAGGATCGATTTGTATTTTTTGCAAAGATCCTCAATCTTTCAACATACATAGCAAATTCTCAAAAAATGGATTAAGATCTTTCTTAAATTTCTAGCAAGGATATATCAATACAAGGTATGAAAAAGATTATTGAAGCTATTTACTTCTCTTTCATATACTAATTATTTTAATAGATTATTATCAAGAATAACCTACAAGTTCTGGATATTCTGAATAATGATGATGATAATGATAATGGTGAATCATATGATTTGTTAAAAGAATTAAATGAACAATGTTCTACTCCACCTCCTACATCAATTCAATTTTTTGCCAATTGTGAGAACACCCCTAAGAAGAAAAGAACTAATTCAAAGGAAAAGAATCCAAGGCAAAAAAAAATCAAATCAAATCATCTGTGACTTAACTACTCTTGTGACAAACCAATCTAAAATGTAATATAATATTTTTTAATAACTAGAAGAAACTTAATATATATAATAAATAAATATCAAGGTAAAGATGGTAACAAAAGTTCAAAATATTATGGTTCAACCCATTGTAAGAAATATTTCTAAAATAACAAGTTAAATTATTTTGTCATTTCATATTCTTTAGTAAGCATCATGATTTTTAATGTTGTGAAATTATTGTTCCCGGTAATTATTTTGTCACATTTGATAATGGCCGTTATTAAATAAAAAACTAATAATTAAATAAATTATAATTAATTCCTCTCAACCTGTTCCAGGGTCCCGATATTTGTGCCAAAGAAATAAATGTAAATAAAAGGCTAGTTTAATTAAATAAGTTTAAGAATCAACAATTATGATATAAATATGTAAATAACTTTGAAGTTACTTGATATTTTAGTCAAAACATTTAATGAAATTTTCTTTTAAGAAATAAAAAATGTCAGTTATAGATAATAATAATAACCAATTTTTGTTTATGCTTTACTAAATCTCATTGAGTTTTTTTATAAATATTAATAAATATATAAACGTTTGCATATATATATATGCCTATATATATAATATAAACAAAAATGAGCTAAATTAACCAAACCCGTTGGTTTCAATTGGCATATCACGAACTTTAGGATTTAGTACATCCCAATTTTTATAAAGTTGGTGTGTGTATTTCATTTGTTCATTTATAAAGTTTCGATATAGAAGTGAGACGAATGCTGAACTTTTATGAAGTAGATTGAGTTCTGAATGCATACAATAACGTACAAAATTTTGTTTTCTAAGTTGAACTTTAAGATCACCTTCATCCTAAAATACGAGAAAATGTGAAGTGTGAGAAGTATTAAATATTAGAGAATAGATATTAGATATTAGAATAAATACTAGATGCTAAATATTAGATAATGAGGATATGGGGATATAGGGATGACGGAGACATATTGAATATTAATATGCACAATATATATATTTAATGAAAATATTTAAATATAAATAAGGAATGTATAATAATTTTGTTTATAATATGCAAGCATATACATACACAAGTATGCACACAAGCATATAATATATATATATTACCTTTTGAATTGCAGATGCCAATTTCTCTACTTCCGGATCTGATGTTTTTTGGCTTGATAATGATTTAAGTTTTGCTTGATTTATTGATATTCTATTATTAAGAGTCTCACTAGTATCAATTACTAATCTATCCCTTCTCTCAAACGTATCCTGGTATATATTATATTGATCAAGTGATTAATTAAATATTAATGTAATAGATATTATATAGATATAGTGGTAGAAATTATTATTGATATAAATAAATTTATTTAAAATTTAATTATAATATCACACCTTGAATGACAAGAGTAAATCTCGATGTCTCTTCAAATCCTCAAGAACAGTTTCAAGAATAGATGTAGCCTAATTGATTGATTGATTCACAAATAAAATAAGCATTAAAGACGTTTGTAATATTAATTATAATAATAATTACAATTCATAATTCAGTTATCAATTACTTACAGCATCTTCCATGATGGTACTTGCATGTTGAAAATGACTTGATACTTGTTCTAAACCATCCATCATCTGTGAACAATTACAACAATTTTCTATGAAGCAATCCTTCTCATTCTCAATCAATGAATTTAAAGACAAACTATAACGCATATAATCAGATGCTGTGCCTTCTTGAGAACGAGCAATACGTTCCATGAAATTACACATATTTAAGTAATGTTCAATAGATTGATCCAAATTATTATATACACTTTCTAACCTTGCATTCAAATCCCCAGGTATGCGTTGTTCCATTTGTGATGAAATTTCTTTTTTAAAAAACTCTTCATCTAAATCTGGTGCATTATTCCTACGCCATACTGCTATTTCCTATAAAATCGTAAAGTATGAAAAGTATGAATGTAGTTCTATTATAAATATAATATATATAAAAATTAATCGATATTTACAGTTTGTTCGGTTAAAAACATTTCCACTAAATCATCATTTTTTAAAACTGGATGTCTTGCAATAAAATTCAAAAATCTTGCCAAGCCTTTCCGCCGTTTCTCCAAAAATGCTTCATCATGTGTGAAATAAAATACGTTAACTATGATA